TTTGTTATATTGCGCCGGATTCTTTATTCTATGACTTATTGTTTGCGGGTTTCTTTTATATCTTGCGATGAATTGTTATACGATGTACTTTTATTTTATTTTATTTTCGGAATATATTTTATTTTATTAATTTAAACCTAATTCGTTCGATTTCGTTATTGTTCCGCTACTCTCTCTCCTGAACCTGCTGGCGATCCCTGCCACCCGTTCCGATACCGACGAGCTATACCGCGCATCAACAGCAGGTCGTTTTAAAAGAATATAACGAATATAAAGAACAATTCTATGTGCATCCAAAAAAGAGGCCACTTACTGATGTTCAAAATGTAGTCGAAAACTTGGAAAATAAAAAACTGAAACAACTTACAGTTTCACAATCTTTTAAACGAGACAATCAATCGTTGGTAGACACACTTATTACAAAATTTGTAGTTGAGACGATGTCTCCTCTGAGTATAGTAGATCATACAGCATTTAAGAATCTCGTTAAAGGTATTAAAATTACTATAGTCTATATTTAATATTTAATGTAAATAATACTTTATGTTTTCCGTTTTTATTTTAACAAAACGGTTCTATTTATTAATTAACTTTTGATACAGGAATCAATGAAACGCAAAGCAAAATAACAGTCATGACTTCGAAAACTTTAAGGAATAAGATCCACGATATGCATCTGAAAGTAGTTAACAGTCTTACTGTACTATTATCAGATACTGCATATGTATGTTTGACTGCTGATATTTGGTCATGTGGACGCCGCAGTTATCTTGGCATTACTGTGCATTGGGTATGTATAAAGTATATTCGTATATTTCATGTTTGCTATAGGCCACTGTTTCTGTTAATGTCACATATATTAACTTAAATATTAACTTAAATGTTAATTGTAAATGGGTAATGCAGATTATCATTCTTAATTATATTTCGTATTATTACTGCGTATAATTATTTATTATGTATTAATCATACATTATAAACGTAAATGTTCTATTCGATTATTCAGGTTAATTAAAGCCAAAATTCATAGTCGAATCTTATGTCTTAAATTACTTATTGTTTTATATAGAAATAAAAACGCCTTATTTCATAAGACTTGATTATGATTTCTTAGATATTCAAAGAATAAAGAATATTGGAATTATTGTATAATCTGCTTATAAGAAATATCATATCAATAATTTCATACTGACACTACTTATAGATAAATGAGAAACTTGAAAGACAAAATGCTGTGCTGGCATGTAAAAGATTTAAGGGTAGCCACACTCATGATAAAATCACTGAATTGGTGTTAGAAATCTGCAATAATTTTAAAATTGATCAATCAAAAATAGTAAAGATAGTGACGGATAATGCCCGAAACATGGTCAAAGCTTTCACGGATTTCGGTTCTCCAAATTCCTTATACTCTGTTGGCAGTGTTGGCACAAGTGAAAGTAAGTTATTTTTACAATTATAGATTAGTTTATATTGTAATAGGTAATAGTAAATTTGATTCAGCTTTACTATATATTTACTATATAAAACCAGAACATTTTATTTATTGCCTATTAATCTAGTCTATATCATTATATTATATGTTAAGAGTTTATTTGCAATAATGAATATTATACTGCTTTATAATGCTCATTAAAAAGAAGATTAAAATACTTTTGATCTGTTTAACCAAACAAACTGTTCATTGTACTTGTAGCCTCTACAAATGATTCGAGCACAAATGGAGATGACTCTGACTCTGAAGAATCTGGAAATGAAGACTGTCTCAAAATTATTGAAATTTTTTCACATGAAAGTACAATGAATGACGCTTGTAACGCTGTGGCATATCATCAACAATGCGCTTCTCACAGCTTAAATCTTATCGCTTCTACTGACGCTGCAGAAGCATTTAACGAAAAAAGGGCTCAGATAATAAAACTATCCGAATTTATCAATCTGCATTTGAGAAATGCAAAGCTATATGGAATAGAACATCAAAGTCACCAAAGTCCTCTGAAATTTATGAAAAGATTACGGGAAAAGCTCCAATGTCACCTTGTGTCACTCGGTGGAATTCTACTTATGATTGTCTTTTAAATTTAATGAAAGTTAAAGTTAAATTAAACGAAATAACCGAGGCATTTGAGTTGTCTAATTTTAAAGCAACCGAACTCGAATTTTTAACTGAATATATACAATGTCATCAGCCAATTGCTGAAGCTCTAGATAAGTTGCAAAGTGAAAATAACTTTTTTTATGGCGAATTAATTCCAGTTTTGCTAAGGACAATAGAAACTCTTCAAAATGTGCAGAATATGTCGTTAAAAAAAATACTTCCGGTCTTGTGAACATACTATTATGTAGTATGGAAAAAAGATTTACTGATTTTATAAATCTTCAACCCGAAGCCAAAGATGCCATATTAGCAGCTGTTTCTCATCCCTATTTTAAATTACGATGGGTATCCAAAGATAAAAAAAGTTACGTACAAAATCTATTCTTCTTAGAGGCAGAAAATTATAATTATGACGTCGATAATACCAATGTTAATAATGTTAATACATCTATCACTGCTCAGAATGACATTATATCACAAAGTTTTTTTTCTTTTCAAAATGAAGATGATAAAGATTGTAACGAATTGAATACAAATGCTGTGCAATTAGAATGTATGCAATATCTTCAAGATAAAATGTAACTATGTAATGTTTGGATCGCTATCGAACCGTTAGAAACATGTTTATTAAATTTAACACACCTTTACCGTCGTCTGCACCAGTGGAAAGATTATTTTCCTATGGCGGCCTTATTATGAGACCGAATCGAAGGAGCATGAAGGACGCCAATTTTGAGAAGATGATTTTAATTAAAACCAACGAAAAATATTTGCGTTAAATATTATTGAAATAAAGACTAAGAACTCTAAGGAGCTTCATATTATATTATATATATCGATATGTATAGAACATTATAATAATAGTTATTTTATTTTGAAACCTAAAATGTTCAAATGTAGTAAATGTACATTTAAATAAACAAATATAAATAAAAAACTATTTTAGATTTAATATATTTAATGCATATATCCTTATCTTATATTTAAAATAAGTTATCATATATTTTAAATAAATAAAATACTTTTTCGTGATATATTTTATATTTTATATTTTAAATAAGCTTTTAAAGTCTATTTCTTATTTTATATTTTAGATACGTTTTTGGTATATATTTTATATTTTTTATTTTAAATAAGTCGTATCAGTTTTTTTACCGATCTCTAGATTTTATAATTTAAATAAGTTTCTAGAACCTATTTTATATTTTGTATTTTAAATAAATCGTATCAGTTATTTTACTGACCCCTGCTGAGTTAATTGTCCATTATTGTCTAAAAATACAACTTTTCCATTAATAAAAGTACCTTCTTCAGTACATTTAGTACAACTAAAGTAACCGGTGTGACCTTTAATGCATAAAAGAAAAGATTTGGCTGGAGCATCGCAGAGAAGTTTACTAATTTTTACTTTAATAATTCTGTCATTTATCTCAAAACCATTTTCTTCTAAATTCTGAAATTCGTTTATAAAGGAATTCATAAATTGTACATCAGCT